GCCTCTCGGGCCAACACTGCTGATGTCTTCACCAAGGCCCTCGGGTCTGGTGATCATCAGCGTTTTTTCACTGCTCTTGGACTTCTGCCCACTCTGCCTCACCTGCTTGTCTCTTAATCTTGCACTTGTTGTACACTAATATCTATATTTATACATGCATGTTTTCTCTTGCTAGGTTGTGATCAGTGTACTGCCTTGCTATTATAACTCTGCATGTGAACTGGCCTTGTGGCCGCTTGCTTGTGCTCAGAATGCGTGGTGATCTTGAGTTCCACCCCGGGCTTTGCATTGCTTTGTTCTCTTGCCTGACTGGTCTTGTGACCGTTTGTTGTGTTGGCTATCCCTCACTTTGCCTAGGGGGTTGTGTCAAAACATATTTATATGTTCTTAGTTCTGCTAGGCTACAGTGAGGTGCTCAGTATAGAGTACAACCCCAGTTAGGGTTTACTACTTGTATCTCACTCTTGCATAGTTCATCCATTCCTGCCTAGTGATTCTGACACCTCCTTCACCTTCTTCTCTAACATTCTCTCCCTCTCCTTTGTCTGCTCCTCCTTTTCAGAGTTTACAGCTCGTTCTCTGTTCCCTAAAGTTCCAATCTGCATATGACACGACGAGCAATAACATATTTGCAACCGAGAGAGAGGAGGGACGGCGGCATGGACGGCACAAGGCCTGGCGATGGGGGGTCTGGGGCTGGGAGGTGCAAGGGCACATGCAATGGCAAAGGAAGAATCAAAGAAGACATTTCAAATACATGTTACAGTGATGAAGGCTCTAATCTCAAAGAGTGAGGCAAAGGCGATGAAAGATGTTCCGCAAAACCAAGAAAAGACGATACACGATATTCACAAAAACAAAAAGGTTGCGAAGGCGGAAGTAAACGAGCTCAGGTGAGCATGTGTAGTGTGTTTTGAAGGGGTATGATTGGGTTTTCTGTCCCAGTCACACCCCTCCAAAACACACTACTCATGCTTACCTGTGCTTGTTCTGCCCTTGCAGCCTCGAAACTTTTGCGAATATCAAGGATCCTTTTTTCCTGGTTTCGCGCAATATCTTTTGTTGCATTTGCCTCGCTCTCCTTGAGGTTTTGAACCTTCATCATCTTCTGCAGCAAAAACATGACAAAGGCGCACAATGATGGTGGATGGAACATTTTCATTATCTGACAAAACCAATCAATGAAGTTATCTCACATCAGCTCAGAGCCACCAACCATTCACCATGCTCACCATCCTCTCAAATACACTCATTACCCTCCCCTACACCTCCTCCTTTCCATGTCCTAACCTCCTTTCAACTCACCCACCGCCCTCACTCTGTTGATCACAATTCAGCTGCCGCTCTATTTGCCACAAGCACATGTACGGACCGTACCTCTGATTCTTGGACATCATGCAACGCGCTCCTCGGGATGCCTCTGGGGGTGAAGCTGCAGCTGAAATGGTCCACACAACATTTAAAACGAACGGGACGGAGAGATAAGTAGTTAAGAACTGAATTTGAGTTACATTGAATTTGGATAGCAGCGGAGAGAGGGAGGGAAACAGAGGAGAAAGAGAGGCAATTTCAGGAAAGGGAGAGACAAATCGAGGAGAGTCGGGCAAGAAAGAGGATAGCAGAGGAGAGGGAGAGAGAAACAGAGGAAAAAGACAGGCGATTTCTCCTCTGTTTCCCTCTCCCTCTCCTCTGCTATCCTCTCTCATACCTACCTCTTCCTCTCTTCGATCTGTCTCTCCCTCTCCTGAAATAGCCTATCCTTCTCCTTTGTACCTTTCTCTCTCTCCTCTACTCAGCTCTCCTCCCCTTTCAATCCCAACCCCTCCTCTACTTGTAGCTCCTCTTCCTACACAAGCCAACAAAACACGGACAATGAACAAGTAAAAATATATATAAAAAAATCAATCAAAGGCATACTTGTAGGTCCTCTTACATAACTTCTATACTGGCACGTACTGTGGTGTTAGCACCTGATGTGTACTCACATCTCGTTTTTGTCCGACGGTCATCGATACATCGCTGGCACTCAATTTGAACCCTGCCGTCTTCTGAATCTTCGTCTGCAACGACACGGAAAGAACATGACAACTTAGCTAAGAGGTGGTATTTCCATAAAATAACTAACCAATCAAATGAAGTTATCTCACCTCAACTCAAAGCCACCAACATTCATCACGCTCACAATCTTCTCAAACACACTCGCTACCCTCCCCTGCACCTCCTCCCTTCCATGTACCTTCCTCACCTCACCCACCGCCCTCACTCTTTTGATCTCAATCCAGCTGCCGCTCTACCTGCCACAAGCAAATGCACGGACCGTACCTCTCATTGTTTGACATCATGCGACGCACTCTCTGGGGTGCCTCCGGGGGTGGAGCTGCAGTTGAAATGGTCCACGCAACAATTAAAACCAACGGGACAGAGAGATAAGTGGTTGAGAACTGAATTTCAGTCACACTCTTTTGTAGCTTTTGTATTTAACTTACCTCGGAATCATGATCGGGGATTGTCTCAGAAACCAGGAAAGGGACGCGATGGTGATTGAGGCTGCAGGGATGGCAATCGGATCGGAACGGCGGCCCTTCGCCTTGGAAGAGAACGATGACAGACCGAGCTGCTCCTTCCGGCTTTGAGGAGATTCCGAGCTTGCGGGACAGTATCTAGGAGCAGAAGAGAAGGAGATGCTCCCATACTTGATCCGTATTACAACGCAAATTGATCAGTCTACACTAGAAATCCGTCTGAAATTTCCGTCTTCACGATGGAATGACATAAGTCCTATTAGGAAACCGATCGCCATTACATCCTCGTCATCAGGTCCCCATTAAAACCTGGCGACACGTAGCCAGGTGTGAACGCAGAGAAAAAGAGGAGGAGGTGCGCCGTGAGAAGTTGTGTGTAACTTACACGCCACACCTCTTATACCGTATGACCATGCACACAATCCGCCTCGGGACAAACTAAGCCAGCTGACAGCGACGCGGTAGTAGTTCCAGTGACGAGCCGCCTCGTGACAGACAAAGCCAGCTGAAGTGACGCGGTTCTAATTCAGTGACGAGCCGCTTCAAGGCTGATGAAGCCAGCTGAAGTGACGCCGTTGAGATTCCCGTGACGAGCCGCCCTGCGCTGATGCAGCCAACTGAAAGTGATGCGGCAGTGATTCAGTGATTCAGCTGAAGGACGGTTGAGATGCAACTGTCACAGCAACACCGGTTGAGTGAGATGCAACTGTCACAGCAACACCGGTTGAGATGCAATTGTCACAGCAACACTGGTTGTGATTCAGCTGCCACAACAACACTGTAATGAATATAGCGATTCATTACTGAGTCTGCTCCTAGGGCGTACAGCCCCGAGCACTTCGCGCCAGTTTTCGGTTCGGCCTACACTTCGACCCGAACAACTGCCGAGTCGCCCCGCACCAATCGCGACACATCCAACCCTCGCACGTCCCGAGGTCCTCGCCTAGCACGGTTTCGACCCTATAAATGCTCGTTCTTTTATTCTATTCGTCATTCTGTACTTCACATCCTTTTTATAAAGTCTTCCGCGCACTTTGTTTAGTACAAATCATAACACTTGGTATCAGAGCTACTTTCCTAGCTCACCCCGCTTTTTAGAGTGTAATACCCCTCGGGGGGGGGGGGGGGGGGGGGGGGGGGGGGGGGGGGGGGGGGGGGGGGGGGGGGGGGACAGGGAAGGATGCCGTGGGGTCCAGGAGTTGCGCACTAGCCGGCCAGGAGAACGGGTAGTTGCTCCTAGCGGCCACGAAATTTGAGGCGCTCCTGCGGCACCGATGGATCCTTGCCCTCGACGGTCGAGATTGACCGTGGCCTCCCTCCCCCCGGGTGGCGGACAGCTATGGCTGTCGTCGCATTAAATGCGTGAGTTAACAGTGTTATTTTTCGTCAATTTCGAAGTTAATGCTGTGTAGCGGTTGACGTCGACAGGATCGTCGCCACTGCACGACCGAAATTGTCGGAAGCGTCTGTGGTGCAAGTTGGCGTTGGCATGTGGTCGTCGACTGCGCACGAGATTTTCGGAGCGACTGCATGCAGCAAGTGGCGTTGGGGCGTCTTCGTCACGTTGCGCATGAGTCCGATGGACGTCTTCGGCAAGTGACGTGCGTCATCACTGTGCGCGAAGATTTTGGATAGCAACACGTGGAAACGACTGCTGGTCGAGCAAGCCAGGCGCCCGCGGGCCTTCCGCCCGTCCGTTCTGCTCCCGCGGGCCTTCCGCCCGTCCGTTCCGCTCCCGCGGGCTTCCGCCCGTCCGTTCCGCTCCCGCGGGGCTTCCGCCCGTCCGTTCCGCTCCCGCGGGCCTTCCGCCCGTCCGTTCCGCTCCCGCGGGGCTTCCGCCCGTCCGTTCCGCTCCCGCGGGCCTTCCGCCCGTCCGTTCCGCTCCCGCGGGCCTTCCGCCCGTCCGTTCCGCTCCCGCGGGCTTCCGCCCGTCCGTTCCGCTCCCGCGGGCCTTCCGCCCGTCCGTTCCGCTCCCGCGGGCCTTCCGCCCGTCCGTTCCGCTCCCGCGGGCCTTCCGCCCGTCCGTTCCGCTCCCGCGGGCCTTCCGCCCGTCCGTTCCGCTCCCGCGGGCCTTCCGCCCGTCCGTTCCGCTCCCGCGGGCCTTCCGCCCGTCCGTTCCGCTCCCGCGGGCCTTCCGCCCGTCCGTTCCGCTCCCGCGGGCCTTCCGCCCGTCCGTTCCGCTCCCGCGGGCCTTCCGCCCGTCCGTTCCGCTCCCGCGGGCCTTCCGCCCGTCCGTTCCGCTCCCGCGGGCCTTCCGCCCGTCCGTTCCGCTCCCGCGGGCGTTTCGCATCTTCACCACGCTTCTGCCGCCCCCCCCCCTTCCTCCCCCTTCCCCCTTGCTTCCTCCTCCTTCGGGCCATCCAGCCCTCCTCCCCCTTCCCCCTCGCCTCCTCCTCCTAAGGGCCATTCAGCCCTCCTCCCCCCCCCCCCCCCCTTCCCCCTCTCCTCCTCCTCTCCCTCTCCCCCCCCCCTCTGCAGCAGCAGCAGCCGAACCAGCAGCAGCAGCAGCGGCAGCATCAGCCGCAGCAGCAGCAGCAGCAGCTGCAACCTCCCTTCCCCCTCCCCCTCCCCCTCCTCCTCTCCCTCTCCCCCCCCCTCAGCAGCAGCAGCAGCCGAACCAGCAGCAGCAGCAGCAGCGGCAGCATCAGCCGCAGCAGCAGCAGCAGCAGCAGCAGCTGCACCCTCCCTCCCCCCCTCTCCCTCCTCCTCTTCCTCTCCCCCCCCCTCAGCAGCAGCAGCAGCAGCGGCAGCAGCAGCTGCACCCTCCCTTCCCCCTCCCCCTCCTCCTCTCCCTCCCACCCCCCCCCCCCCCCCCCCCCCTCCCCTGCGGCAGCAGCAGCTGCACCCTCCCTTCCCCCTCTCCCTCCTCCTCTCCCTTTCCCCCCCCTCCTCAGCAGCAGCAGCAGCCGAACCAGCAGCAGCAGCAGCAGCAAGCGGTGGAGTGCAGCAGCAGCAGCAGCAGGAGCAGGAGCAGCACGAGGAGTGCAGCGGCAGCAGCAGCAGCAGCAGCAGCAGCAGCAGCAGCAGCAGCAGCAGCAAGTGCGCAGCGGCAGCGGCAGAAGGAGTGCAGTGGCAGCAGCAGCTACAGCGGGAGGAGTGCAGCGGCAGTAGCAGCATCAGTAGCAGGAGGAGGAGTGCAGCAGCAGTAGCAGCAGCAACCCCCCCTTGGCCGCCGCGGGTCCACCCGCCGTCGCCTTACCCTTGACCGCCGCGGGTCCACCCGCCGTCGTCTCACTCTTGGCCGCCGCGGGTCCACCCGCCGTCGCCTCTCATGGCTGCCAACCCCCCTGCCCCTCTTCCCCCTCCCATCGACGCCTCTTCAGTCGACAAGCTGCAGCTTGCTGCAGATCGTTCGGCCATCAATTGGCACTCATTCGCCGGCAGCATTCGCCGCGTCCTCCAGGATGCTTTCGTCGGACCCTACTGTGTCCTTGACGTCCTCCTTCGCCGTGCGCACGCCCTCCAGCCGACATTACCCAATCACCCTGGTGAACTCCCTCCTCTCCCCGACCCTCCTGGCTCTCCTCCTTCCGAACCTGAGCTGGTCAGGGCCTCCATCTCTGACCTTCAAGCTGCCGCCGACACCACCTTCCTCCACAACCGCCGCGAGTACCTCGTTCGCAAGGCCGCTCATGAGGTTGCTGTGCACAACTTCGAGTTCGCAACGGCAGAGCGTGCCACTCGCCAGGCTTTGCTTGACACCTACAACACGGCCATGGCACTCCACATCCCCACCAGCCTCGCCTGGGCCGCTGCCGACAACCGCGCTTGCACCATCCTCCTTGGTGCACTCCCCGACGCACTCATGCGTCGTTTTCAAGCCCGTGAAATGCGAGCCTCCCTAATCTGGGCTGAGCTCCAGTCAATGTTTGAGCGTCGCGACATCAGCTCTGTCGGCGTTCTCCTCCAGGAGTACTTCTCAATTACCCTTGCTACCTGTGACGGCGCAGTCGACTACGTCGGGCGCATGCAGGAAGTTGCTGATCGCCTTGCGGCCCGTCAGTGCGTCCTCCCTGAGCCGCTGCAGATCCACCGCCTGCTCTTCAACCTCACACCGGACTATGAGTCCCGTCTGCACGCCTTCACTGAGGCACACCCCCTTGCTGGCCTCGACCCGGTGGTCCAGTGGATCATTGATACGGAGGTCAAGCTCCGCACTCCCATTGTCAACCTCACCACCCCTCAGTCCTCCTCCTCCCCCTTTCTCAATGCCACACAGCCGCGCAACCCAGGTGGTCGCAGCGGCGGAGGAGGTGGTCGTGGAGGGGGCGGCGGTGGTGGTGGTGGTCGGGGCGGTGGTGGTGGCCGTGGTGGCCGTGGTGGAGGTGGTGGTGGTGGTGCTGGCAGTACCGCTCCTGGAGGTCCCCCTGGTGCCGGTGGTGCTGTCGTTCGTGGTGGTCGCCCGGGGACTCTCCCCCCCTGCACCTACGTTTGCCGTCATGGTCCCAAAGTCGGCACGCCCTGTGGTCAGACCAACCACCCTCCCACCACTTGCTTCAAGGCGCTCGATGACGCCTGGTTTGACCGCGGCAACACTGGCACCCCCCCTCGCTGGGGCACTGTCACCCCTCGCCCCACCCTGGTGGACGTTCAAACTCTTCCCTCCTTCCTCCCTGCTCACCTCCGCCTACTCACCCCCTCCCCCCCTTCCCAGCTGCAGCACTTCCAGCAGCACCAGCAGCAGCAGCCGCCGCAGTTCCTCCAGCCGCAACAGCAACCTCCGCAGCAGTACTTCCAGCAGCAGCAGCAGCAGCAGCAGCAGCAGCAGCAGCAGCAGCAGCAGCAGCAGCAGCAGCAGCAGCAGTTCCTGCAGCCGCAGTGGCAGCAGCAGCCGATGACCTTCGGCACAGCGGCCATGGCCGCCCATGCTTCCCTTGCTCCCCCCTCTGGGGTTCCCTCCCCTCTGCCCCCCCCAGTGTCTCTGACACTCAGGGCAGTTTCCTCGGTCATATTGATGTTGCACCTTCCGTCGCTTCCGTGTATCCCTCTGCTATCAATGAGACGTCTTTCCAGTACCCCGTGCCACCTCCCCCTCCTTCCTCCTCCACTCTGGACTTTGTCCTTGACAGTGGGGCCACCGAAACTGCACTCAAAGACGCTGGCACCCTCACCCCCCTTCCACTTCCCACCGTTCATGGTGCTGACTCCAGCTTTTCCATCCCCTGCACTCATCTTTCCACCCTCCCTTGCACCGCTTTCCCATCTGGTCAAGTCACAGGTCTCCACATCCCTACCCTTCGCAACAACCTCCTCTCCCACCGTGAGCTCCAAGGTGTTGTATTACCGCCATATACCCTAGTTTTGCTACATACTGTGATCTCTACCACACAGCCTCCGGTCGCTTCCTCCTTCGCATTCCCCTTTGCCCTCGCACTCGCCTTTACACGCTCCGCACGCCTCGTCCATCTTTCTGTCACGTCACCACTCGTGCTGGTACTTCCACCGGTCCCCCTCCCCCTCTCCCTCCCCCTCCCCCTCCCCCTCAGGTATCCTCCTCCCCCATCTCCTCTCCCACCCCATCCCCCTCCTCCTCTACTGCCCTCTCCCACCCAGCAGTTCTTTTGCATCACAGACTCGGCCATCCCAACTTCGCCGCACTCCGCACCAGAGTCACCTCTTGCCTCCTTAACAGCCTTCCTCCCACATTACCTCCCCTCCCCTCCTCCTCTGCTCCCCCATGCCCATCATGCATCCAGGGCAAGCTCAAACAGTCTCCCCATCACAGCCATGCCACCTTCGCCGCCGCCCCCATTGACCTTGTTCACATGGATCTTTGGGGCCCCTACCCCATCCGCTCCCGTCAGGGGCATCGGTACATGCTCGTCCTCGTTGACGACCACAGCCGGTACTCCACCACCTTCTTTCTTCACACGAAAGACCAAGTGCCGGTGGTGGTCATCAACTGGGCCGAGCTGTGCCGCACTCACTTCAAACGCCCCATTGGCCGCCTTCACTCTGACGGTGGGGGGGAGTTCATCAATAACACTCTCGCCACATACTGCAAAACCTACGGCATCCAACAGACCTCCACTCTTCCCCACTCCCCTCAGCAGAACGGCATTGCTGAGAGTCGCATTCGTGAGATCACCAAGATAGCTCGCTGTCTCATTGCTCATGCCTCCACCCCTCCTTCTCTCTGGAGCTATGCCCTTCTCCATGCCGCCCTCCTCCTCAATCTCCGCTCCCACCCTCAGCTCCCCTCTTCCTCCCCCACAGAACTCTGGTCAAAGGCCAAGCCTGACGCTGCCAGCCTTCGTGTGTGGGGCTGCAAGGCGTTCGTCCTCATTCCACCGGCCGATCGCTCCCGTGCTGCTGGCAAGCTCGCCCCTCGTGCCCTGGAGTGCGTCTACCTCGGGCACAATCGCGATTCCCCAGGCTACCTGTTCCTCCACCCTCCCACCAACCGCCTCATCCGCAGCGTTGACGTCGTCTTTGACGAGTCCATCCCCTACTACTCCACTCCTCCTCCTGGCCCTCTTCCTCCTCCCACTCGCCCCCTCGCTTGGACCGACACCGTCCTCCCCCCTCTTCTCCCTCCCGCGCCTCTCCTCCCACCTGTCGCCGCCCCGCTCCCGCCTTCCTCCTCTGCTGAGGTCTACGACCCTGCCGCCCCGCCTCCCCGGCACACTCAGCTGCACCCCCTCCCCCCTCTCCCTCCTCCTCTCATTCTCCCCCTTTGCAGCAGCAGGAGGGGCAGCAGCGGCAGCCGCAGCCGGGGCCGCAGCAGCAGCAGCAGCAGCAGCAGGGGCAGCAGCAGCAGCAGGGGCAGCAGCAGCAGCAGCAGCTGCAGGGGCAGCAGCAGCAGCAGCAGCAGCAGCAGCAGCAGCAGCAGCAGCAGCAGCAGCAGCAGCAGCAGCAGGGGTCGCGGCAACAGCAGCAGCAACAGCAGCAGCACCAGCAGCAGCAGCAGCAGCAGCAGCAGCAGCGGCGCCGTGCCACTTCCCGCTCCTCCCCCTTCCTCCTCCCTCACATGCACACCCGCTCTGTGGACAAAATCCTTGGAGCTCCTACTGCCTCCATTCAACTCCTTGAGGACTCCCATGAGGAGTTCCTCAACATCCGGGAGCATACTCCGTTCCTTGCCTCCCTCTACCTTGACTTCCTGGGCTTTCCCGTCCTTGGCGCCACCACTACCCCACCATCTTCACTCCCTCCACCTTCCAGGAAGCCATCACCTGCCCTGACGCGGATAAATGGATAGCGGCAATCTTCCTGGAGTGTGAGGCATTCATTCGCAACGACTCCTACGGGTGAAGCAGCTGCCGGGTGAGGAGCCGGTCTACAAGGCACGCTACTGCGCCAAGGGCTTCACGCAGACTTGGGCCGAAGATTACTGGTTCACCTACGCCCCCACCGCCAAACCACCCACCCTTCGCGCAGCCCTCGATGTTGGTGCGCGTGACAACATGGAAATCTGTTCCATGGACGTCTCCAACGCGTTCCTGCAGGGTGACCTGCACGAGCGCATTTTCCTTCGGCGGCCCCCTGGGTTCCACGCGGCCTTTCCTGAGAACACTGTGTGGCAGCTGCGTCGCCCTGTCTACGGTTTGAAGCAGGCGCCTAGGGAGTGGCATGCGAAGCTGTCTGCCACCTTGGGGTCCCTCGGCTTCTCTGCTTCGCACTCTGACGCCAACCTCTTCATTCGCTCCTCCCCTCACCGCTTCTTCATTCTGGTGTATGTGGATGACATGATCCTGCTTTCTGACTCCAAGGATAACATGGCGCAGATGAAGCTGTCACTGCAACAGCGTCTCAAATGCAAGGACCTGGGCGATCTCACACACTACCTCGGCATGACCATCACGCGCAACCGCCCTGCTCGCACCATCACTCTCTCCCAATCCCATTACATCGGCCAGGTCTTAGAGAAGTTTGAGATGGCGCAGGCCAAGCCCGTGTCCACCCCCCTCCCGTTCGGTCACCAGCTCGCCCCTCCCACTTCTCCCTCCTCCTCCCCTCACCCCTATGCCGAGCTCGTTGGGTCGCTGATGTACACGATGATGTGCACCCGCCCCGACCTAGCCTACCCCATCAGCGTGCTCGCACGCTTCGTTGGCACCGGTCGTCACACTGAGGAGCATTGGAAAGCTGCCAAGCGGGTCCTCCGCTACCTTCGCGGAACCAAGGACCATGTCCTCACCCTTGGCGGCCCCTCCCCTCCTCTCCTCTCGGGCTTTAGTGATTCCTCCTGGGCTGACTGCCAGCCGGACCGCCGCTCCTCCCAGGGCTACGGTTTCACCCTTGGCAGTGGCCTCATCAGCTGGCGCTCCACTCGCTCCTCTGCCATTTCTCTCTCCACCTGCTAGGCTGAGCTCTACGCTGGCACCATGGCCGCCCAGGAGTCTCGCTGGCTCTGCTTTCTTCTTGCAGAACTTGGCGCCCCACAGCCCTGCCCCACTCTCTGGTGTGACAATGCCAGCACCATCCACCTCACCCAAGACCCCGTCTATCACGCCCGCTCCAAGCACATCGAGCTCCGCTACTTCTTCATCCGCGAGCTCGTCCAGCAAGGCCTCCTTGCTGTGAGGAAGATTGCGGCGGAGGCCAACTTCGCCGACATCTTCACCAAGGCCCTCCTTCGCCCTGCGCACTCTACTCTCCTCCGTCTCATTGGCCTTGCTCGCCCGGGTGTCCCTTGATTCAGGGGTTGTTCTCTTCTTGTGTTCGCATGCTAAGGGGTTGTGTTAGAATTATATGTTCTAGCATGCTAACACTTGTGACTGTACACCAATTGTGGTGTACAGTTGGGTTGGGACTACACCCAACTTTCGGTGTAGTCTTGCATTGGGGTGCCAATCCACCCAATTGTGGTGGAGCCCCCAAATGCAACCCACTTGGCCTAAGGTTGCCTCACTTCCCAAAAGTGAGGCCAACCCAACCCAAGTGGGCCTGAGGTTGCCTCACTTCCCACAAAGTGTGGGCAACCCAACCCACTTGGCCTAAGGTTGCCTCACTTCCCAAAGTGAGGCCAACCCAACCCATGGCCAACCCAACCTTTCCCATCCAAGCTTCTCATCCAACATATGTATGTTTTTTTTCTCCTCTAATGAATTCAATGGTTTATGTTCAACTCTACTTTCACACATATATTTCACCACCAACAACATCTCCGGCCACCTCTAGCCTGCGCTTCTAGGCCGGTAGTTCCCTCATTATGGCGGCCACTCGCTTACTGCGCTTTGATGCTGAGGGTAGAGCCCTAGAGTTCCCCTCCTGGCTCATCCGTGCCGAGCGGTTCCTCAAGAGTCAGCGCCCGGACAATGATACACTCTGGGCGCACGCCTCCGGTGACCTGCCTGAGCCTCCCCCCGCTGCTGCCCTGGGTGCTGAGCCTGATGAGGCGGCACAGGCGCGATTCGATAAGGCCCATACCGCTCGTTCAGTGTGGCAGTCGCGTAACGCTGCGGCTTGCATCGCCCTCGCCAGCCTTCTCCCCGAGACCGAGGAGGCTCACTTCTCTCAGGTTCGATTTGCCAAGGACCTGCTCACTGCAATTAAGACACGTTATTCCACTCCCACCTCCGCCTCTCTTGGTCGCCTCCTTCTGCCGTTTCTCTTTCCCGACTTAGCTGCGTTTGACCGCACTGCTGACCTTATTACCCACCTGCGCTCCCTAGACGTCAGCTACTGTGCTGCTTGTACTGAGGCTGAGCTTGCACTGCTCCCCCCGCCCATGGCAATCACTATTCACTTCATCGCCACTAGCCTCCCTGGCCGCCTTGCTCCCGTCCGTGACGCTCTTCTTCAGAAGCACCCTAGTGCGCTCACTATCGATGTCTTTGAGACAACTCTCCTGGACATCGAGAACAACATCCGATTTGTTGCCTCCGCCTCCGGCGCCGTAGTTCCCCCACTCTTTCAGGGGTGCACTGTCCCACAGCTTCCCACTTTCACTGCTTCTCTTGCCTCTACTGCGTCTCCTGCTACTAACGAGACTACAGCCGTGTCCACTGCGGGTGGGCGGTCCAGGGGTAGGGGAGGTAAAAGAGGGGGGAAGGGTGGTGGCGTCCCGTGCCCTGTGGTCCCCTCTGGTGTCCTGCGCGGTCTCCACATCCCCTCGTTCACTCGGAACTTGGACAGAGGGATCACTGTTACTTTTGTGGGGGGTGGGAGGACTACGGTCTGTACGGACGCTGTCACCGGTGCTGTTCTAGCCACATTCACCAGGGAGCCCCTCTCAGGTCTCTACGTCCTCCACACCGAGAACTCCCGGGTAGCTACGTCGACTCAGGTCGCTGAGTCCCCTCAGGTCGCTGTGTCCGGTCAGGTTGCTGTGCCTAGTCAGGTTGCTGCGTCTGGTCAGGTTCCTGCGTCTTGCTCCTGTCGGTCCCTCACCCACCCGACCGTCTTGTGGCACCACCGTCTTGGCCACCCGTCGATCCCCCGCCTCCGTAGCATGGCTAGTCACCGTCTTGTCTCAGGTCTCCCTCGCGTCTTTGCGTCGCTCCTTCCCTCGCCTGCACCGCCGTGCACTCCTTGTGTCGCCGGCCGCCTGCGCGCCACTCCGCACTCCTCCTCCCTTCGTCCAGCCACTCCTCGTCCAGCCACTGCTCCCTTCCAAACTCTCCACTTGGACGTCTGGGGCCCTGCCCCTACGCAGGGACCTGAGAGGGAGCGCTACTTTCTGGTGGTCGTCGACGACTACTCCAGGTACACCACGGTGTTTCCTCTCGTGAAGAAGTCCGAGGTGACTTCTACGCTGACCCGGTGGCTTCTGGCCACTGAGGGCACTCGTGGCAGTCGTGTCTCCTGTCTCCACTCCGACCGTGGGGGCGAGTTTTGCTCTGGCATTCTTCGCGGATTCTGCGGCGAACAGGGCATCTCCCAGTCCTGGACGCTTCCGGAGTCCCCACAGCAGAATGGGGTTGCTGAGCGCCGCATTGGCTTGGTCATGGACATTGCTCGCACGTCCATGATCCATGCCCGTGCGCCCCATTTTCTGTGGCCCTACGCGGTTCGCTACGCCGCCCACCAGCTGAACCTCCAGCCGCGTGTCTCGCGGCCAGAGGCGTCTTTGGACCGGGTCCCCTGGTGTTGGGTCGGCCTTTCATGTCTGGGGCTGTCTTGCGCTTGTCCGCGACACCTCTGCGGACAAGCTCTCGGCTCGTGCCATCCCCTGTGTCCTCCTTGGTTTCTTGGTGGACTCTCCCGACTACGCCTTTTACCACCCGCCCCTCCACCAGTTCCTAGACTCCCGTGACGTCCGGTTTGACGAGTCAGTGTCCTACTATACCCGGTACCCCTGTCGAGGTCTCCCGGTCCCCCCTCCTCCTCTTTTCCTCGCACCCTCTCCTCCTCCTGCTCCCGCTCCTCCGGTACCCCCGCCCCCCTCTGGTCCTGCCCCGTCAGGTGTGTCTCACGCTACCCCTCTCCCCTCGGTCGTGCGTCAGGTAGCGTCTCCCTCCCCGCAGTCCTCCTCACAGTCCCCTCAGCAGCCTTCGGCACTTCCGCGCCAGGTTGCTGTGGACTCTGGGGGTGTTGGAGCTGGAGGTGCTGCCACTGGAGGAGCTTGGTCTGGGGGTGCTCGTTCGCGGGGTGCTGGAGGTGCTGGCACTGGAGGTGCTGGCATTGGAGGTGCTAGTTCTGGAGGTGCTGGAGCTGGAGCTGCTGGTACTAGAGGTGCGGGTTCTGGGGGTGCTGGAGCAGGAGGTGCTGGCGCTGGAGGTGATAGTTCAGGGGGTGCTGGAGCTGGAGGCACTGACACTGGTGGTGCTACCTCTGGAGACACTGGTACTGGGGGTGCTAGTTCTGAGGAGCCTGGAGCTGGAGGCACTACGTCTGCGGTGCCGACTCCGCCTCCCCAACGCCACGACACGCGTCTCCAGGCGGCCCGCCGGCGTGAGCGTGAGGAGCAGGAGCAGTTGGAGCGGGAGAGGCAGGAGCTGTGGCAGTTGGACCTGCTGGAGCAGCAGGAGCAGCAGCGGCAGCAGCAGCAGCAGCAGCTCCCTCTGGAGCGGCAGTTGTTCCCGCCAGTGAGTGGCCTGCGGGCCCTTGGTCTTCCCTCCTCTTCTCCTATCTGCTCTCAGTCTCCCCCTGCCTTTGGTCCTACGTTTCCTCCTCCTGACGACTCTCCTGCGGTCTGGTCTTCTCCTCGGTCCACGTCTCCTCCTCCTGTTGCCCCACACTACCGTGTCCGTCCCTGTCCTCCGCGTGCTCGTCCCTCGTCCCCCGTTACCGACCTCCG